AGGAGAAAAAAACCTGGCGAAACACCAGTTAAAAGCAATTCGTTTTATTCATTCATCAAACCGAACGCTTCCTCATTCCAACGCTTTTCACATCAAACGCGGCACCCATAATTCACTCATCATATCTCCAACATGTTTGTCCCCGGTCAACAGACCGATTACACGCCAGAAGACACTTCTATCGAGTTGACTTTTCAATCGCGTTCCTAAGAAGGAACTCGGCACAGGGGACTTGCCCAGATCTCTTCTCACATTCGATTACTTATACCCGTAGAAAGACTCTTGTCTCTCCTTCCTGAATACCGTCTCCTTCCTGTTCCTGCGCGAAAGCTTCCGCCGCGCGCGATACGTGACGCGAATCCTCATCGCCTCTTTTAATAAGAGGAGTCCTCTCCCTCCGTTTCACGAAACGTGACGATTGTCCCGCAGAAAATCACCATCGGGATCCACAGCGGGGAGGTCGTCACCGGTGTAATTGGCCATCGTATGCCCCGTTATTGCCTGTTTGGAAACACCGTGAATCTGACCAGCCGAACCGAGACAACCGGCGAGCCCGGCAAAATAAACGTCTCCGAGGACGCGTACAGGTAACGAAGTTGACTGTTGACTACCTTGATTTATGATAATTAGAGGCTATTTTCGAAGCATGTATATATATATATCGAAAAAAGCGAAGAAGATTGGAGGAGAAGCGCAGGAATGCCTCGCTTCGAATCGTAAGCGGTTTATTTTACGCGAGGCAAACAAACTTTTGAGCTGGCACGGGATTTGATTTGTTTGCTTTTTTCTTTTTTTCCTTTCTCAAAAGTGTGGAAGAGGAAGATGGGATTTATCTCGTGGGGTAATTTGTAGAAGTATTTGTAGGATTATATCGAGTTGATTTTTTGTAAATTATCCGGTAAATCGCGGAGGGATTGGGAAAGATTAAATCGATAAAATTGCGATAAGTGGGAAATTTGATGGAAAAGTTTTCCATCGAGAGAAAGTGTGTGTAGATAACGTGAGAAATAAATTTGTTTTTTCGGTAATAATGACAGGATAATTTACGAACGAGTAGTCAAAGTTTAACTGTCCACTGCTGTTAGAAACAAAGAGATTAATAAAACACGTATTAATTAATAAAATTATTTTAAACGACACATTTTATAATATTCAATTACTTCAAAGACATATTTCATTTATAAAGAAATATTCTGACGTTTCTCATTCCATTTTACAAGCGAGCAAATACATTATAATATGAAACTCAAGATAGCAAAAAATGTATATACATATTGAAAAGATGAGAACGATCGTTAGCTTTGCGAGAAAAAAATGCGTAGATAGACGTCAAGGTTATTTTTTCTATACAACGCTAATATACATGGAAATGAACTTGAACATTTTAAAATGCTTTCGACATCTCGATCTATCGACTCTTTTCTCTCTCTCTCTCTCTCTCTCTCTCTCTCTCTCTTCTTATATACTAC